TTTACTCTAAGTTTACAATTTTTTTAAGTTTACACTTTTTTAGAGTTTTACACTCTAAGTTTACTTTTGTAAAGGAATCCCAAGGATCTCCCAGAGGAGATCACTCAAACTCACCCCATTCTTTACTGCAGACTCTAGTGAGCCTTTATCTGTAGCCTGGATAAACCATACATGCTCTCCACCTGCCCCCATGCATCTCACCTGCCCTTTGCTGCAGTATTATGAGAACACAGAGGACTTGCCAGGTTAGTCCCAACACTGCGCACTGTAAAGGTGGACAGGAATTGTTTGAGTCACATCAGCCAAACTGCAGATGCCAACCCAGGCAAACTGGTCAAAGCCAGGCATGAGAATACTGCTCTCTGGCCCTCTTTATAACGTCACTACACAACCTGAGTAAAAAAGGCTCTTGGGCAGCCACCGTTGTTGACAGCCACCTCTTACGTACCCCAGTCCCCCTTGGTTGAAGCAAGAGAAGACATGGCAGGTAGGACAGAAACATGGAGCTTTCCAGGTGACACCAGGGGACAGACAGTTTGCTGTCCCCCACAGTCTGCCATCCTCGGACACTGGCTAATTGAATCTGAAACTTTGACATTGCTCCTAGATATTGACTCTTAATTCATTCTGCCATATTGGGTCTTACGAGTAGGAATCACCTTGATTTCAAATGTGAATCCTTCAGCTTGCAGACCCACACATCCCTTCCAACGGAAGGAAAATGGAAAGATACTGAAACTCTAGTGATTTCTAATTTTAAATGTTGCCTCTAACTTCCCTACATACAATATGCTTAATTTTCAGAAAACATTTCACATGTACCCTACTTATAAATAAATATATAGTATTTTGACCTGCTAGGCTACAAACCACATCTGAAATTCAAACATGAGCTTGAGTTCTCTCCTTTTCCCAGAACTTTACAAGACAGACCAGTATTTCAGGCCACATCCTGTAACCAGTGTCACTGGTTCAAATACGTTGCCTTCAAAGGATTTGCCAAGTGCAAATGAGTGCAACTCTATAATTATTAAGTACTTACGATGATTATATATACAAGGAAGAGCAAAATCCAGTTCTCCCACACTATGCTTTGCTAATGCTAAACAAACATAAGTAAAAAAATTGCTTTAGCTTATGAAGTCAGAAGAAAAACAAGTGAAGACATGTTGATTAAAAAGGTGCCAGTGTTAGAAAGATTCTTTTTTCAGAATAATTTATAACACCTCCACTGGAGTATAACAAATAGTTTTTTACCTTGCAGGCCTGTTTAGGGGTTATATATAGTCTTTTTTCAGTGCTACACTGAAAAATAATTTCCCTTTTCAGTTTCCTCGCCTTTGTTTCAGTGACAATATATGAAGGTGCCTTTCCCTAAACACTTTCATGTATGATAAGGTTCCTGGCCAGGAATGCTTCAGGATGCAGCCATTCAGTACGTTCACTTTCATCAACTACCTGGAAGGTTGGGTGAACCCACAGCTCTGGGTATCATGGGACCTTTCCATGAACACCACTTGTTTTCCCTCCTAGGCAAAGGAGTAGTTGCATTTCTCCCCACCCAAGCACTGACTACTTGAGACAAGGGTGGGTAGAAGAATGTTTTATCTTTTTCTCTATAAAGGAGAGAGCATCCACCTGGAAAACAGTCATTGCTTTCACACGTTCAGGCACTGCACTGCCTCAGTCATTTCTATCACATGGCTATCAACGCCCAATTTTAGCAAGGAAAGCATGTATTGTCAAAAAAAATACTGAAAAATGTGTCCTTATGGTACCTAATAGAGTATGGAAAATTATAAAAAATTATTCATTGCTATACTGACCTTTCTTAATTCATCAGAAATGAGAATATCATCGTAATAGTCATCATAACATTTCACAATATCTCCAGTTTCTCTAACAACTCCTTCAGAGTACAGCCGGTCAAAAAATGACATGGAAATCTGTGTACAGGGCACCACTGTAGCTTCAATTTTTGTCACTTTGGAACCTGGAACACATAAGAAGACTTCATTCCATGTCTCTTGCAATAAATAAAATAGAATTTCCATGTACTAATGGTTTTACAGTAATTTGTGATTCCATACAGCATGGAAATAATCAGCTGCTCTATATGGTTGTGTGCAGCATATTCTTTTAAAAAAGTACAGATTACATAGTATGATTCAATCACACAGTCCCTCAAAAAACAGAGAAAGCTTAGAAAGAAACAACCGTAAAGAACACATGAAATTCATCTGAATGGCACCTTCCATGGAGACTCTTGTGCCAGCTCCCCCTGTTGGTAAGTAGTACTGGCAACCCGAACAACTGACAGCTGAAACACCGTGTGAACTACACATCGCACTAGTCCAAATCCTTAGAAAAACCATATTGCCCAGCTTAAGCCTTGAAGAATCTGAGGACAAAAACCAAATCTGGCATGATGAAGTACAAAAGTCAATAGCTTCTAACAGCACCCCACAAAGGAAAAAACAAAAGTAACATAGCCCTGGCAAATCTTTGGTTTGTTAAGCATCATATCTGAACTTTTTGAAATGTTGCTTTGTAGCTACTGTAAGCTTTACTAACTAGCTATTTCAGGAGATGAAAAAGGTATTATCGGTACTTCCTGTATGAATCAGGAATATTAGCTCTGTAATCATTAAGTGCAGAGTACACTTTTCTACAATTTTTTTCTGGCTTTTGTGCTTGCAAGTCATCCAAGGCTTGATCCCATCGCTCATCGACATCTAGTGCCATTTGAGATGCCCTACAGTGTTCTCACCAATGACGTAGCAGTCCATAAGGGCACATATCTTCCCTATATATGGTGTTACATCTACAAATCTGTATGTGCCGTGTTGGGTAACTTAGGGCAGCTCATGTTTAAGAAGCTTTGGACTCAGGCCAGTTCCATCTGCTCTCTACAGTCCAAGTGTTCAGACCAAATGTTAGGACATAGGCTCTGCTCCTCCCCAGGTCTCCCTGAACACCCTTCAAAGTGCTTCTGACTGGGAGACAGGAGGAGAGAGAGCAACCCTGAGAATAAGTGAGCATGCACACTCAGCAGAGATAACATCCACAGCATTCCAGCTTTCCATGATTTCACTCATCTTTTTTCCTCTGCAGTTTCCCTTGATAGGAGACTGGTCAACAACATCACAATATCAAAAGGCTTTTGATCCTACAATTAAAGATAAAATTAAGTGGTGTCCTGACACACGGACCTAAAGGATCCCTAAAGACTAGTATTTAGGAAATGTCTAAATTTCACTCTAGATGACAGTATTTCAAGAACAGAAACATGCCAAAAGGGATATATGAACCATGCTTCTTCCCAGAGCACCTACCATTTCATTCTGATCCTAATCATAGAATCCTTTGGGTTGGAAGGGACCTTAAAGACCATTTAGTTCCAACCCCCCTGCCATGGGCAGGGACACCTTCCACTAGACCAGGTTGCTCACAGCCTCATCTTTGCAAGCAGAGCATAACCTAAAATCTCTCTTGCCCCCACACTTCCAAAAAGTCCTTGGGATTTCTCCCATATATTATTACATGAGGATTATTTATTCATAGGTTAAGTAGGACAGGCAATTTGGTGTCTAAACCCAGGTAAACTGTACCACTTACCTGATCAACACGAAGAAAAAAATTAAAGAGAAATTACAAGTTGATGGCTTGAAAATGTGTCTACTTAAGCTAAAAATACTGGCATGAATTTTCATAATTATTTTATTGAGCCAAGGTGATGTAAAAAACTTGCTGTAGAAAAAAGCACATCATTTAATTGCTTGGTTTCACATCTACAGATATGGCTGTGAAAAAGGGTATCTTTTATTAAAGAAAGAGGTTTAGGATATTCTCCTACTTCTCCATATAGTCAGTATCAAAAAATAATCAAATTAAGTAACCAAAAATCACGAGTCAGAAAAACCATGACTTACAGCCTCACAAGCTAAGAAAAACAAACTAAACCAAACTGTATTTATTTGTTTATCTGTGCTCTCTCCCACCCGTCACCCCCTGACTCTTCTAACTTTTAATTCTCCGGCTTCCTTTCACAGGGATAGAATTTTTATTTTACAAGAGATTTAATAAGAGCTAAATCGGCCACTAACATAGAAAGTATTTTGTAAAGTCCTATGAATCAAAAACTGAGTCAAGACTAATAAAAATCAGATGTTAAATGACTTGAGAAAAAAAGAGACATCTTACATTTTCCCAGTTATTGAGCTCCAAGTATAAGAAATTGAGCTATTTATAGGCCTTCAAATTGTTAGGATTTTATTGGGGGAAGGGAAGGAAAAGAGACACACTTTTGCTCTGAAACAAGATTTTATGAAAACTTTCATCAGGAAAAAAAATCAAGAGCTTTGCAATCTATCCAGTAGTTCAGAAAACCAAACCATAAAGGGAAAAGTTTAAATATACTGGGAGCTCCTACTCTCTCTTTGAGAGGTGAGACGTGAAATTGGAGATTCAGAATTTCCTGGAAAAGTGTGACCAGTTTTAATAACACAGTAAAAGTGAGCAATAAAATAGGAAGAAGAAATGCCTTGACAATTCTGCAAGTGGAAAACAAAGAGCTGAGAAGTACTGAAGCAGATTAAGCTCCTCACAAGAGCTAGCTCTGGAGTATCTATAAAGTACTGCCAATATACTTTTAAATGAACACGTTGCATATCTAGTATGGACACACCCCAGATCAGGTATATTTAGATTTTTTAAAAATATTTAGAATTATTTTAATATTTAAAATTTCTTCAAGGTTTAAGAAATATTTTTACCTCAGGGAAACCCCTTGCAACTTGTTATTTACAAAACGGTTTATACAGAACATACATGGTGCAAGTTCAGTGCTCTGTACTAAGATCGTAATTCAAAAGTAAAAGGTGCAGGTTGATGACATAGATTCAAATGGCATCTAAAATTTTTGCAAATGATAATCTCTAACAATAGTCTAGAAAATTGCTGATTTAAGATTACCTTCCAGATTTTAAAATCCCATTCCAAAGACAGCAATTGTTAGAGCTTCAAGTACATACTGCAACTCAAGAACCTTTCTGAGGCAAATAGTAAATTTTTATTTACACAAAAAGACAGTAACCCTGTCCCTTTGAAAATAACTTTTCAAGTGTTAATTGAGCTTAAGCAGATACAGTCCTGCCTCCCCAAGACTGCTGACAGGTGCAAGGCCAGTAATACGTCCAAGGAAAAACTAGCATTTATTTTTCATTGCAGCTATTTAAAAATACAAGAGTCAAGATGCAAGTTGATATGCATCAGATTTGTTCCTTTTGCTCCTTCTGTTTTAGAAATCTGAGAGTAAGAGATGAAGGGGGGTGCTTAAAGCACATGGCAGACTATCAGGTACTCTGCCATGCAGCCAGGAAGAGGGAAAAAAATATCCCTACTACGACAGGCAAAAGTGTGTGGTGTGAGAATAGGTAATTAACCTGATCAAATGATGCAGACTAGAGAATATCCTGATATATTGTTTATCTACCTAAAATGTTATATTTCAAGTAAAGTTAAAGCTGGAGTCCTCGAGACAATGTATTACTGTGGGAATCCCAACACATGGGGGAGCTGGGGAGAGAGGTACACGTTGCATTCCTTGGGGACCCCATGCTTTATGCCACCTTTTGATCTAGCAGATGGAGACCGAGGATATTAAGGTCTGATAATATTGAGGTGAGGATGAAAAGCAGTCAAGAGAAATAAAAGAATGAAATTAGACACAGGAAAGAAAAGGTAATAAAGAAGTTTTAGACACAGATTTTAGGAAAAGAAGGTAGACAAGTAACAGAGAGGAGGTAGAGGTAAATATGAAAGTGAAACCACCCCCACTGAATTAAAAAGAAAAATAAATTCTTAATGAGAAGATGAAAGGGGACCACAGCCTGGAAAAAGACAAAAGGATTAGAAAAATAAACACTCTTACAAATTAGTATTATATTGATGTTTTATATAATGCTGACCTCTTTCTGTGGGTCCATAAATGCTTTCTGCTCAAGCTCATGGAGGGGGAGGTTTACAGAACCTGTCTAAACCCCACATATTACACATCCAAAATACCTCCCCTCTGCAAAAAAAAAACCCTAATGTTTTTGTTTGCAAGAGAATAAATACAGTATTTGAATTAACCTGGAGTACGTCCTTTTCTTCAGATTTTCCAAAAAGAGTAAAATAAACCTACTTCTAGTATTTTTCAAGAGCAGGAACTTGTTTTTAAGAGAGTTACTCCACAGTGGTAAGTAAATGGTATATCTGGATTAAAATAGTGGCATATCTGAAGAAAAGACTAGAAGATGCTTTTTTACCTCCTCCCACTCAAAGCTAATTCTTACTATATTTTCAAAAAATGCACATGAAGACTAAGTATAGAAAAATGTGCCAACATTCCACACCAAAAATAGGCAAAGAATGGGAAGATGAAATTTTAAGAGCAAATGGGGTGTACCAGCTGTTCAGGATTTAGAAAGGGAAACCTTCCAGTCCTCAGAACAAAATGCATTACTTCCGTGCTGAGGAAGATTGAGCAGAATCAGGAGTTAAGCTGGGATACTTGGCGAGTGACCCTCCCCTCTTAACACAAGGTATGTAACCTACTGACCTTCACTACAGGGACTGGCAAGTCATAGGCTAGACAGAGAGCCTAAAAAAATTCTTGCCTAAAGCAGGAAAAGGTTTACCCATGGTTTGAAATACATTTATTTTCTCCCTGCTTTCCAGAGTGAAAAAGAGGTACCTGAAGGGGGACTTGAGATACTTCTTGCATCTTATATATTTCAATTGTTTTAACAGCTGGATACAGTGTTTGGAAAATGGATTTTGCTGACAAAAAGGTGGCAATGTCTAGTGTCATTGTATATAGCGGGGAAAGCCTATGCCAATTCCAGAGAGCTGAAATGGAAAAGTCAGAAAATTCTCAAAGCTCCATTAAATATTTACACACAGTGAAGTATTTGCAGACAAACCAAAAGAACCAAGGACTTCCCACTACCCCCTTTGAAAATATTCCTATTAAGGAAAATCACTTATATCAGAGTTCACATTATGCATAAAATCCCACTACATTACCACATGCAATTTCCATGAAATTTTGTGTCATTTCCATAATAAAAAATGCAATGTCAAAGTGGTGCCATAAAATCATGTGCTATTTGCTTTTCCTCTTTCTCCTTCAGTGTCTCATCTCCAACTGCCGATATAATCAAGTGTTATAAGCACTTAATTATATGGAAAAAAAATGGAAGTCAACCTTATGCCATGATTGCAACTAGAGAAACCTATCGCACGGCTCTCGTTCTGCGCCTAGATCACTCCTGGTGTGCAGATAACATATTTACATGAGCTCAGGGTTGTGCTCTATCTAACCTTCTGCCCTCTAAACTTCTATTTGTAACAGAGCAACAATCTCAGACCTGTCCTAAGTAAGGTGGTTGAAACTATAGAAGAGTGTCTTTCTCCAAATGACCCAAAAGGGGGTCAAGGAAAAAAAAGTGTAAAATGTGATAATTTAGTAACAAATGAGGTAAGAATCTTTTCTTATTATTTAGCAAAACAATTAATTATTTTAAAATATTTCAACCAGGGGAAGATACACATATATGAGCTGTCATTATTACAAAATAGTGAATTAGAGAAAAATAGTTACAACACAGACTTTTTTATTTAAGATCAATGTATTCTAAATTTACCCAATGTAGTCCATTGTCCTGAAGCGGAGAGCAACTTTAAACTGGAGTTCACATTTTGATCATTAAAAAAGGCCTATAATATTCAAAGAAGAGAATACAAGTTAATGAAATGAAACAAACAAAAAACCCCATCATTTATAGTGCCTTGGATACTTTCAAAGCAAATTATAAGGATCCAATTAGTAAGTCGATTTTGCATGATCTTTCAGTTTGGATACTAAATATCACACCACCAAATGCACGTTGTTGTAACTTTGGGTAGCCGGTATCTTTTATATATTCAAGAGATCTTCATGTACATATGTATATATGCAGTGTTCAGGTTTTACAGTAACGTGCTTTTAGTCCAAGAACACACAAAAAGTTTGTATGAAATCCTTGGAAGTACAGAAAATGGAAGAAGAGATGAAACAATTCTACCTGTGCACGCAATGCTGTTGAAGTTAAAAATGAAATGCTAAGTAGGATTGCAAAATGGACATTTTTTAAATAAATTTGAAGCTTGGAGAACTGTAGAGAGACAGAAAAATTATTAAACAGATACAGGAGATATCCATAAGTTACTGAAGGGATCGCGACGATGTTCCACAGTAAGATTTGAAGTATTCAGTCTTATTGATATATCAATTGAAAAAAAGGAGGCATGCAAACTGACAAGTTTAAATGATAGATAAGCCAATTAAGAAAATACTTATGTACATGCCTACAAGCGAAGTGAACAATCCTTGAAGAAGCTGCTATGAAAATGAGGGATTTTTCAGTCCCTGCATCACCCATCTCTTTACCATCTCTCTGGGATACAGAGAGAGCAGATTATATAATGTAATGGTCCCTTTGTTCTCAATCGATTCACAGCTACTCTGATTCCATCATTTCATAGTGATATTTTTACATTTTTAATTCAAAAGAGACAAGCATTGAGAAGGTAAATACATATTTTGTAATCTTCAATCATTTGAAATGTTTATCAGTGAGAGATGAAATATTGGTGTATTTCTGTGTGAATTTCTTTACAGTACAAAGAGGCTGAATTCTTTATCCAAGATAACAATATAAAGTAGACATACAACAAATCAAAGAGTTGTTTTTAAAACAACAGATGTAAAAACCACACTGTTTTTAAAACCACAGATTATTACTTTTTTCTGTCTGCCAACAGATGAATTTTGCAGACAACAAAAGTGGAGGATGCAAAATCAGCAAGAGACTTCAGTCTCAAAAAGCCCCGAGCCCAAAATTCCAGTATAAAGCAACAGCATCCAAGACATTTTTAAATCCTGCATTTTCAGACATATCGTGCATATACATGTCTAATCGAGCGGTGCATTTACTGCGAGCAGGGGTACCAACTGCACGTGCACCGTTTAAAGTCTCCCCCTGGGTGCACTTCCCCACAGTAAATGTGGTGGCCAAGATCAGCATCCAGTTCAGATTCCCATTCTTGGGAACTAAATTCCCGTTCTTGAAGAACTAAATTGTTCCCTCTTAAAACAGAGTAACATTAGTACAGTCTAAAACATTTTTACTGGACAATACAGTCAACCCACAAAGTAAGACCTGAGCACCACACCTTCATCACCTGCTTTCAAGGAGACAGTGAGCAGGAACAGCACGTTAACACTGCTACAGTGTTTGCCATTATGCAGCTTTACAGTAGGTATAATTTAATGAAAAAAAAAACCAAAAAAGCCAAAATATAAAGGATTGAGCACTACCATAACAAATTCATCCTTTTGATAGGGTTTAAACTGCTGGTCAAAACTGAACGCTTGTGCTGTGATCCTGCCTTGCATGGACCTGAAACGGAAAAACGAGATTAAATATTCCACACATACTAGGTACTTGCTCACTCTGCAGATTTGCCTATGTACACTACAGAAAGGCATATTCTGACTAACAACTATACTTCCTTTTTTTTTCATTCTCACTTATAACCGCCTCCCACCCCTTCCTGGAAGGGGCATAAAAGGCAAGGATAAATGCCGCGCACCTCAGAACAAGCTTTATGTTCCTGAGAAATAGGCGAAATCCAAGGCGGGGTGGGAGGGAATTTAAAAATAAATAAAAGGAGAGGGACCCGGACC